GTTGTTTTTTATCTTTATTTATTGGGACTCTTGCCCAACCCTAAAGAACACTTCTCGACATTGTTTTAATGAATTTTCTCACTTTTAAACATTGTTTCGCTTGGATTTTGATCTCAGAGAGTGACACTCCATGAAAGATTCCAATTTTTGGGCTTGTAATCGTGGATTGGCACTCTACTTCATATTAATCGTAAGCTTTTATGTTTGTTTTGTCTATGAATAATATGTCTTTGACTAATATGATTATGGGTGTCGATTTTGATATGTCTAGCTAAATGCATTTGCTAGGGATAGGAAATGATTGCCCTTGTTTTCGTGTTTATCGTGTTTTTGTGAATCGTCCATTCTATACGAGTTGTGTTATACCTAGGTTTGGATTATTAATCACCTTCTAATCCAATTAAACAACTTTTAGAATTGAAAAGGGAGGAGTTGTTCGACCTAGGCTCGTATAGAGTAGACTTGTTCATAATTAAATTGCCTATATGTTGTTTGGTTTGATTGATTTGTTGTTTATGTTTATCCTCTTGTTACGAACAGTTATTGAAGTTGAATATCTAGATGTGTAGGTTAATAGAATCACTTAACCGAATGATCAGTTGTACGATGGTTACGTTTGGAATTATGAGCGATTATCCCCGACTTCGTAGCCATTTTATTCAGTAACTGCATCTTTTTTTAAGGTTGAGAATTGAGAATTTTCACGATTTGGAATTATGACTTGATTAGAGTGTATAGGATTTAATTTCACTTCTACATGCTTGAATAAATGAGCAAAATAATTTGGTTGTCCTTCTTTGCAATACGACCCGGGATTGATTCCTTCGAATTGAATCCAGTAAAAATAACTACGACACACACCAAGAACAGTCTGGGACCAATTCCAAGGCTCGAGAACATGAAAATTCACTTGTAAATGATTCTTTTAGGAATTTATCCATTTTACCATTTCTCCCACGCTTGGATTCTTGGGGTATACGTGTTGAGACTGAATTCTTGCAATTCTTCAATTGATTGTAAGTTTTGATATTCCAATTATTATTGTTAATTGATGGGGAGTTTATTGCATTCGATTAAGCTGAATTTGATTCCAATCATGTGGTAATTCATCCACCTTTTCAATTCTTGTCTTGAATTTGTGTTGAATGCGTGGTGTTCATACCTGTTGGAATTTTTAATTATAATGATTAGTTGTTCGGTCACCATCTAGTCTAGATTGATAACCTAGAAATTGAAAGGGGTAAGGTATCGGACCATGATTCGAATAGGGTAGACATGCTGGTAATTGTATTGTCTATGAGTGCATTGACTGGAATACATATTTGTCTATGTTCGAACATGTATTCGTAAAGGCATCGGGAACGGATCTCTAGGTTTGTGTGTATATTATTCTTTATTCGTTTATGTTCAATCTAGCTAAGGTAGTTTTACTTTGTTGGGATCTTTTTAGTTGTTGTTAGTTGTTTTAGTTGGTTAGTTTTAGTTGCGAGTTTTTTCTAGCGTTGCTAGTCGGGACTCTAGGCGATCTTCTGACCTGTCCTCCCACTTTTTTCAGTTGTTGGCTGTTGTGTATTCAGTCGTTGGCTGCTGTGTATTCGCACATTTGTACATTTTGATTTATAATATAATCTATTGTTTTGGAAAAAAAAAATGGGAGCAAACTGCTAGGCATTTAGGTGAAAACCTCAGTCTTTAGGCTAAACAACCATTAGTTCAACAAAGATTTTAGGAATTTATGAGATGTTTCCAAATGTCCTAGACCTTCTTCTAATTCTATATTTAATTGTGTTATTAGTTAATGGCAGTTTCTAGGTAAATTCTCCATTTTCCTAATTCTGTTCTTGTGTGCTGGTAACTTGACAGAGGATCTCGATGAACCTAAGCTGCCCATTTTCCTTCCCGTACGCTTACTCATGGAATAATGGGTTGAGTTATGACCCTGGGTTCTATGGCCAAATATCTTCATACCATTACAAGCAGTAATGGGATTCAGTCATGGTTGAGCAATCTCATGAGTCCCGCGAGGATTCTTTGGAGTATGGTGCAAAAGCTTGACCAAATTCGTACTATTTTGACATCCCAAGAAACCCAGCAAGAGGATATTAAAGTCAAACATGCTCGATTGAGTGTCCAATTGGAGAACCTAGCGGAGCGCATTCGAACTACGAAGGATCAAGTTTATAATTCCTCTCATGAACTCGCTGCGCAAAGTTTCTGTATGTATATGAGTGAGCCACAGGAAGAAACTTTGGGGTACTGCGAAAAACTCAACCTTGTGCTTGCTCATATGATAGCTCAAGCAACCCAAGATGAGAAGATTAAGGTCAGATGTGCTTGATTGAGTGGGCAATTAGAGATTCTAATGGCACATCTTTACTCCATTGAGGCACAAGTTAATAATCCTATTACAGATGATCTCTCTTATATGCTTGGTGCCCGAACTTATAATCTATTGCAAATGGGTGAGTCTAAATATAAAGAAGATGTGATCCCACATGACAAGAGTATCACTCTGTTGAAGGAGGTTCTTGAGCCTGTTTGTCCCATTTTTGTTGCGTTTTTCTTTATTATTTTACCTTTCTTTTTTCCCAGTTTTAGGTCTTTTTGTTAGTTTTTATTCGTTTTTTTATTTTATTGTGTGTTTTGCTCTGTTTCGGTTTTGTTTTTGTTTCTCGTGTATTTTTTCGGTTCTTTTCGTCTTTGGTGTGCAGGTTGAAAGTTTTGGGAGGATTTATTTTTCACGATAAGTGGACCTGGTGAGCATAACCAAATAGAGTGTTTCATTGACAATACACAGGAAAAAGCGGAATCAAATTCCGATACCGGATGTGCTCAAACGAGCCCGAGAGGTGAAGTTGTGCATGGAAGCTAACTATCAGGCCCAGTGCCACGTGCATGCCGCAACACCACCCATGCCGCGGCAGTTTGCTTCCCTCATGGCGCGCACCATCTCGCGGGGGGACTGTCACGCGTCAACAGAGACACCCCCAATCAGCACCACGGCGCGCCACTACCTCCACGCCGCGACAAAGGCTCCCATCACGCCGCTGTAACTCCTCGCGGCGCGGCACGGTCTCTTATCACGCCGCTGCATCTCTTCGCAGCACGACAACCTGGAGCCTCCACGCCGCGCCACTCTCACACGTCGAGGAACCCTGGAACCTATATATATATATACATATATATATATACATATATATATATATATATATATATATGCGTGCAGAACTCGTAAAGACCCGTCTCTCGATCGGGAGAAAACCCTAGGTCCCGAGAAAACACGAAAACTCCTTTCTCTTTTCCCTCTTCTTCTTCTTCGTTCTTCACCTTTCTTTCATCTTATTCTTCCATTTTTTTCTTTTTCTTCTTCTTTACATCTAAGAATTAAGCTTGTAATTTGGATTCAACTCTTGGATTGGATTGATTGTAAGTCTTTCTCTTTTGATTAATTCATGAAAATGGTTGATTTGAGGAGAATGATTAATTGTGTTGAATTGATTTTACGTAGCTAATTCTTATTGCTAGGGATAGAGGATGATTTTTTTTTTTTGTTTAATTCGTATCTGTCGGGCTTGATTTGTTTGGTCTTGTGCGAGTTAATTTGATGAGGAATCGATGAAATCTTGTTTGATTGATATAATCGAAGAGTAACACTTCGATCTTGCAATTGGAAACGATTGAATGTTGATTAGTCGGGTTAGGGTTTTGTTGATTCTAAATGATTAGTTAATTAAACACTTTCAAATTGAAATAGCGGCTTTTAGAACCGAAAGGAGAAGTCGTAGACCTAGGCTCGCATGAGGTAGATGATTTCGTAATTGAATAGTTTATATGTCTACGAAATCATCCGGGGAACGAATCTTGTGATTCGTTACCCGGTAATAAAATAATTTGCTACAACAGAGCCCGATTTGGAGAATTTCTCATTGAGTCGTCATCCTACACCACCGAGAAAATGAGATTTAGCTCGACTTGATCCATAGATACTTTCATATTTACGGAGGTATACTACAGAGCTTTGATGAGTAAAGCTCTAGGTCATCTATTGGTGATTGTTCGTGTCCACACTCGCTTTTACAAGAACATAGTCACCCAAGCCCACCGTACCCACATTCATGTCATGCTTTCTATTTTTCACTTGTGGAAAATAGGAAGTCGTGGCATGATCGCCACTTCTATTTGGATCTTAGATGATTTCGGTTTTGGTTTCGTCAAGCTAATGACCTTAAATAAACGTTTCTATGGATATAACCCAAGTTCTCTATACTTTTTTATTAGTTTATATTCTTTCATGTTTTTCGGTTTTTACTCTTGAATAAATTGTGATTTTGGTGTTATGTTTTTGATGTGTTATAGGTACTGGTCCACGATTTAGGAGTGAGCAATTGGTTTTGATA